GCATCCCCCTCTGGTGGCCACACTGCTAAGATGCATGGCAGAGGGGTGGCCCTCGCCTGCCCTCCCAGCTGCAGCAATGCTTACCCTCCCCACTCAACGAGCCAGGGGTGCTGGCCAGAGCCCCCTTGGGCTCCCCACGTACCAATTCCTGACACAGATTTGAGGGCACTGCCTTGATCTTTAAAATCATTTCAGAGATGACCCAATAATGTGACCAGATGGATGAGGCCCTTGACCAGGAGGAAACACAGTGAAGCGCTACAATCTCTGCTGTAAAATCTGAAAGAGAAGCTTTGCACTGACCAGACCCCTCTGCCTGGACAATGGGCAAAACATGCCCTTCTTGACCCTGAATCTACCCCACATTTTGTTTTACAACCAACCATCCATGTGCTAGTTCTCTGACGAGCCTACAGTCTATGTCTCAAACACTACTGTTGTCCTCAAGCCTGGGCAAGTGCCTGGCACACAGGAAGGACTCCATCGCTTGTTGGCTATATTTAAACTGAAATAATGTTAACATTACTTATTACATGATCTCCTTTAATCGGGGAGACATCTAAGATTATACAGTAACTTTGGCCAAGTTTCAGCCTCAGCAGCAGCTGCGTTGACATGGTGACCATCCAGCCACTGCCCCATCTGGCCCAGAGACAAGGCATTCACACACAAGACAGGGCCTCCGTGCCCTCCCCATCATAGGTGGCTTGTCTGAAACCTGCTCTGTGGGCTGTTAAGCACTCGAAACGTCGCTGGCTCGCATCGAGGTCGGCTGGGATTGCACCACACACACTGGATTTCAAAGAGTCGGTATATGAAAGCGAGAATGTAAACCACATCAATAACAATTTTTATTTAATCAGTATAAAAATTGACATTATATTTTGACTATATTGGTGTAATCAATAAAGCATTATTCATTTTGTCTGTTTCTTTTTACTTTTTAAAACACGCTACTAGAAAATTTCGAATGACACTCGTGGCTTGGATTCTACTACTGGCCAGTGCTGAGCTGGACTCTCCTCCCAGCTGACTTCACCCGCAGCAGCTGCGGCCACCACTCTTCTACTCTGATGGCCAGCAAGGTGTTCCGTGCCCAGGGAAACCTTCACACAGGGGCGTCCTCTGTGCACCCGCCTGCTCTCTGAACACTC